CGTGTCCCTAAGCTCCAGCCTGTGCCTCTGGGGTATCGCACTTGTGTTCTGCGCGACAGAGAGTGTGTTCGCTGTGCGATGCGCCCAGCTCGCCCACCAGCTGCTGGAACTGAGGCCCTGGTGGGGGAAAAGCAGCCACCACATGGTAAGGCCTGCCATCCCCTCCACAGCCGTGACGCCCCTCATTTTCTGGGAGCCCCTGCTGGGCAGCCCCCATCCCTCTGCATGGGGCTCCCACTTGAGAACTGGGGCGACAGTGTTCTTCCCAGGACCAAAGGGAGAGGGGTCAGATCTCCCAGCTTAGACACACAGTTGGCTCCTGGTTCACGCAGGGCCCAGGACTTGGGCGGGGGGGTCATCTGGGCTGGAACTGGGGGCACTCCAAGGGTGTGGCCTGGGATGCAGTGATGCCGCTCTGCTTCAGGGAGCCTCGTCTCCCCGGGGGGCTGGAGGAGACCCAGACCCAGGTCTGCAGCCTGGCAGCCTCTCCTGTCTCCGCAGATGCAGGAGAGCCCGGAGCCGGCGGAAGGCCATGACCTGATGAGCTGCCCCAGCTCTGGCCCGCTGACCCTCTGACAGCTGCTGCCTCACCCACACCCCATGAGCACCGGGACCTGCAACCAAGTCTGCACTGTGACCAGGCCAGGATCCCTGGAGCTGGCCCGTGAGGGCTCAGTGGCCATTCCCGGACCTGGGTGGGGATTTTAAACCCCGCCCCCGGCCACCCACGCTCTGGCTGCAGTGAGACTTTATTCTGAAGTTATTAAAAAGAACAGAGACGCTCGGCCGGGAGGCATGCAGCAGGGGAGGGCTGGGCCAGGGCCTGTGCTTTCCCACGCAGGATGCAGGGGGCGGGACGGTTAGGGGTGTCTGTGGGTCTGTGTTCATCCACGTGCTGAAAGGCGGGCGGGGGTTCATGGGGCTCACAACTGCAATTGGGAGGTTTTCCTTTTGCAGCGTGGCCTCCAGCCAACAAAAGCTGCAGCAGGAAGGGAAGGATGGCTCCAGGAAGCTTTATCCTTATCCCTCCACGCCACGCCCCCCAATCCTTCTCTCCCCTCCAAATAAAAAGACTGGCTCCTCACCTGGGCTCGGTTTCCACGCTCCCCACCCAGGCTGAGACCTACCAGGGTGGGATGGGGGAGGGGGAACTGCCGGTGATTGGGGCAGGGACGTCTGGCCTCGGGGCTGTGCGTGTGGGTTGGGAGGGGGGCTGGTTGAAATTCTGAGATCGAGGTAGGGGAAGGCTGACTCAGAGGGGAGGACCACGCCAGAGCCTGTCCCCCTATCTTTGCCGAAGGGAGAGATGGCCTTGGATTGGGGGTGCTAACCGCTTGCTTGGGCCTTGGGAGGACGGCAGGGTTCCCTTTTCCATAGGCTCCCCCCAGAGTGCGGACCCTGGGGCGGAAGGCCCAGTCTGACCCCCAGCCTGGAGAGACACAAGGGAGGGGAAGCGAGAGCCGGGAGCGGCCGGTGGAGGCGGGGAGGAGGGGACCTGGCTCCTCGCTCAGAACTGGGAGGCGCTGCTGGGGTCGCACTGCAGCAGGCGCACGATGGACGGGTCGCTCTTGGCTCCGCGGATGAACTCCTCCAGGGACAGCTTGCCTGCAGCGGGAGGGAACGGTGTCGAGGGAAGGCGGCCCGCGCGAGGGGAGCAAGGGGCAGAGCCGCGGAGGGGGAGGAGGTGGCGCCCGCCCCTGCCCCTCACCGTCGTTATTCGTGTCCATTTGGCGGAAGATTTTCTCCGTCCTCTTCTCCGGGGTCGACTCGTCCTCCGGCATCTTCATCACCGACGAAACCATCTTGTAAATGGCCTGGGGGTCGGGAGGGGAAGGCGGGAGTGAGAGGAGGCTGCCGAGCACCCCCCACCCCAACCTTCAGAAGCACCCCAGGTACACTGACGAGTGGAGAGGGGGTCACGTGGGCGTGGGGGCCCCGGGGTCCGGGAAGGAGTGTCTGGAAAGGTTTCCCAGGAGCAGGGTCTATAGGCGAGGGCCCGGACCAAGTTCCGTGGCGCGAGGTGGGAGAGGAGTTGCTGACCGAGGGATAGGCATTTCCAAAGAGTGCAGCGGAAAGCTCCCAGCGGGCGCCGACAGTTTGCGGGTAGCTGAGTGCAGGGGGGGAGCAGAGATGTGGGAAGACATGGGGCTGCAGGTTCCCGGGTAAGCACGGTTTTTGCGCTGTTTCTCGGAAACTCCGGGTGCCCCGCGCTGGGCACGGACAGAGGGAATTGGGCTGCGGCAGGTGGCACTGGGCTGCGGTACCCCTGTGGCCGGCAGGGGG